CCGCCGGCCTCCGCCTCCGCGGAATCCCCCTTCTGCGGCAACTCGCTGGAGCGCCGCCGACGACGCCGACGACGACGACGTCGCCTCAAGAGACCCTCGCAGAGGAGCCCAACCCTGAACACCCGCGCGCGAGGTGCACCCGAGGGGAAACCCGGAGCACCCGGAACGCAGCAGCTTCTTCAACGGCCGCGGGAGGTCACCGCGCAGCGCGCGGAGCGAAGAGACCCAGGATGCCCTGACGAAAGCACATGGCTTCTGGATGCGCAACCACCCCTGTACCAGTGTACCAGCTTGTCGGCTCTTGCGAATCGAGCTGATCGACTCTAATCTCGGGGGGAGACTCGGTTTCTGGGGACTCGGGTTGGCTTGACGGGGACATCATGAAAAGAAAGAGACCCAATCTGAAATGTGACGCAAACTCCCGCTGCAGACATCCCACGAAAACTGGACCATCAAAATACGGAACGCGCTCGTCAGAAAGCGTTCTGGCGCATTCAAATCTTACGTTTCCCAGAACCATCTTGTTGGCTATTGCGAATCGACGCTCATCGGCTCAAATCGGCGTGGGGTCGGCGCTGAATCGGCGCCGATGCACTCCAGAAACGGATATGCAAGGGTATGCTCCCGTGACTTGCTGAAATCAGATCGAATAGAGATCTCGTCGGATCACTCTGCACTGGCATTGAGTCGGAATCGAATCGGATTTACAGGGCCAAACATATACACCAGCACCACCTCTCTCGCCCTCTCCCTCTCCCAGGAAAGAGGAGAGGAAGGGGAGTTGTGGTGGTAGATTCATGGGACCCGCAGGATCGGCTGCACAAGAATGCACAACAACGCCATGCAAACATCGGGCCGCATCGGAGCGTGGGAGTCTCGGAATCGCCCGAATTTATCCAAACGCGCCAGGGTGTAACCGAAATGTTTGGTTCGAAGCCGAAGCATGTATTCAATGTTGGCTACAATTTGGTCACACTTCGTTTTCGGTCCAAAATTTCTGGCGCGTTTCAGGTCACCGATCCGTTATGGTCAATGCCTCGAGGCTGGCGGCGTCGAGGCAATCGGACTCCACATCGAACCGCATCGCCGAATCATCGACGATGCGGCGCGATCCTCCGACTCTCCCATCTCGGAGGCCCCGATTGCATAGAATACGAAACATGATGATGAGACGACTGAGCATCTGCATAGACACAACCTTCCAGAACAAAAACACGCGCTGTTTGAGTCGGTCGACGGTTCTTCTCGTACAAGACAGCGCAGCCCCCACAGGGCAGCACACCCTTTGTGGGCCCCGGAAACGGCAGGGCCGCTTTTGCACCGTTTCCAAAAAAAATGTCACTTGAAAATGGAAACGGCAAAAAAAACTGCGACCGGAAACGGCAAAAAAGCGGCTCCAGGATCGGAACCCGGGCCGGAACGGGTCCAAAAACGGCGACGGAACCGGTAAAACAACGGCGTCGGAACCGGCAAAACAACGGCAGATCGGAACCGGTAAAACACCGGCCCTGTCGTTTCCAGGGCCCACTAAGGCGCAGCCCCCGCAGGGCAGCACACCCCGCAGACAGCCACCGTGCTGCCCCAAGGCATGCCAAGAGAGGGGGGCGGGAGCAGCGTGTCGGGCCACGGCGAGCCGCGGCCACGCACACACAGGCTCCCCGCTTCTGCGCCTCGGGGCCGGCCCGGAGCGCAAGAGAGCCCCTCCGAAAAGTCCCCAAATTGGTACAGCCAACCCGCAGAACAAGGATGCGCGATACCCATCGGTCGGAAGAAGTAGGTAGAAACATGAAGTAGGAAGGCGTTGGAAATATATTGGGTTTCCGCCCCGCCTCCTGAAGAGGAGGGAAGAGTGAAAACCACTCGACTCTTGAAGTAGGAAGGCGCTGAAAGTAGATTGGAATCTGAGAATCCCAAAATACCTACTTTCTCAACGACCGATGGGTAAGGATGCAAGGCCCTGGGACGCCCATTTCGAAGCGCTTCGAACGGGGGGCGGCCAACGAAAGTGTCCAGGGATGGACCCAGGGAGCAAGGAGGCAAGGGCACCCTTACTCGCCATCGCTCGGACGTCCATTCCCTGTGGTTCTTCCGGTTTCGTGCGTGGCTTTGTCGCCAAATGATCAAGGTTGCTCCTCGATGGTCCTCGCCGAAGGAAAAAAAAAATAAAATAAAAAAAAAAAAAAAAAAAAAAAACCAAAAAAAACAAAGAGTAAAACAAACAAAAAAAAAAAAAAATAAGAACACAAGAAAAAAAAGAAAAAAAAAAAAAAAGCAAAAGGAAAAAAAAAAAAAACAAAAAAAAATAAAAAAACACAAAATAACAACAACAAAACGTAGAAACAAAAAACAAGAAAGCGTAAACCGTAATAAACCCTAAATAAAAACCACAAAAAAAAAAAAAAAACAAAAAAAAATAAAAAACAAAACAAAAAACAAAAACCAACAAAACTATTTGAACCAAACAACACACACCCAGCACCCCCCATACACCCCACCCCCACCCCCCTGCCCAGCGGCCCCAACCCCCGAGACAAAATGCACACTTCCGAGCGATGCCAAGCTGCTGTGGGAGGGATGTCTGCCCTCACTCTGCGGGCCGACGGCACATGCCGAGAGCATCGGCCGTCGGCGGTCCGCGCCACGGGGCTCCCGCGTCGATCCGAGCAGGCCACGCGCGGACCTCTGGAAGCCCGTGCCTGCGCGTGTGTGTCTTCTTTCGGGGGGCTGCACCCCGCACCCTCCGGCCGCCTGAGGCCCCGCCCGCCCGCGCCCTGTCTCCCGAATTCGTGCTCTGCGCGCCCCGCCTAATTAGCTCTTGACCGGAAGAGGCCCGCTCCCGACCCGCAGACCAAAAAAGTCTTCTTTCGGGTCGGGCATGTCCTCCTGCAGGCGAGGTGGACCTGGAAGAGAAAACAACAAATGACCAAAAATACAGCGGAGGCCAATTCACAAGAAGACTTCCGCAAACAAAAAAAACAGCCCTGAGACCCCAGGACGTGCATCGACTGCTGGTGTGGGAACGTCGCGCCTTGCGCAGGACACCATCGAAACCCAAGACGCCCGGGGCACCCTGGAGGCGAGCGGGGTGTTTCTTGGCATGCGCCCCCACGCTGCACTCAAACCAGCCCGAAAGATCGTCGCCAGACTGCGTTTTGTAGCTGTTGCCGACCACTCCCTACAGAAAAAAAACCATGCCCGACTTGCGTGCACGCCTGCGCCGACCGTGGCTGGGCCCGGGGGCCCCTCGGGGCTCGCAGCTGCCCGGCGCCTCCAGAGGGGATCGCGAGGGGGCCGCGCTGCCGCGGCGCGGGTTCGTTTGGGCCTCGGGTGGTGGCCGCGGTCGTGGGCCTCTCGGGGCGGTCGGGCACAGCCCCGGGAAGCACAGGAACGGCCCCGAAGGAGCGTCGAGCGGCTCAGGGGGCCACACCTGGAAACACATCCGCGGCGGTGGACGCCGGAAAAGAAAAAAAAAAAGAAAAAATCAAAAAAAAAAAACAGAACTAGACACGGCAAAAATGAGAGAACAGGTGGACGCCTGGAGTCATTAGCTGTGCTACGGCCCACGCCTTGGCACAAAGGGGCAAGAAGCGGGTGTGAGGGGGGGCCAACGGCGATGCCTGTTCTTCTGCCCCACCCGCGACCAAATTTGCGAGAGGTGCCAAAAGCAAACTCTACAGGGGCCCTGGGACAAACAAATAAAGAAGCACAACTCTCAGGACCTAGATGTTCCCATATCATCTGGCTTGTCGACTTCCCCCTCCCATTTCCCATCTTTTCCCATATTTTCCAGGCGATCGACAATGAATTGTGTCTGTGTGCTTTGTCCCCCCTGAAACTTGGGGCCTGAGGAACCTTGAGCCCTTTTTTGCAAAACCAAAACAGTCCATACCGCCCAAAAAAAGGCACCCCACTCCTTCCTGACAAGCGAAACCCTGCGGCGGGGAGGACCGTGTGCTGCCACCGGTGTCCCTGGCCCACGGTGCCCCTGGGATGTCCACGGAGCCCCCCCACACCGCCTCCAGAGCGAGCACTCCCCCCACGAGGCCCCCAGGGGCCAAGCGGCTCGATCCAAAGTGAAACCCAGGAGCTGGGAACACGCTTGGACAGGAGATCAAAAACGAGTCTTACGCGAGACGACCTGGTGAACGTTTTCGTTATTCGGCGTTTCGAGGTTGGGCGGAAAGGGGGGGGAGGGGGGGGGGGTGTCTAGGCTCTGGACTCTGCTCAAAGTTCGAAACTGTCATGCAAAACAGTGTGCGCCCTGTGGGAGGCCCCACCTGCTAGAAAAGGCGCCCAAAGACAGCCAAGATCCACTCCATGAGGGGGGGGGAGGGGGGGTGCGAGGGCCCACGCGGCCCACGCCGATCGGCCAGACAATGAACAAAAAACGATCACCTGGCGACCATGCGCGGCGGCTCACGCGGGCCGCCCGCGCGGCACGCCGCACTGGAGGCGAGGGCGCTCGCGCGCGAGCTTGCGCGGGCAGCTTGCGCGCCAAGGAAGGCGCAGACGACCCCGTTAAGTTTCGCCGCTCGCTTGGGCCCGAGACACCTTATAGCACCCCCCCAGAAGGGGGACAGGAGCAGGGGGAGGGAGGAGGGAGGAGGGAAGAGGCAGGAGGTGTGGTGGACGGCCATGAAGGCGGGTTGGTTTCTCGGAGGCGCGTCCGCGGCCCACCGAGACGGCGACGAGGAGCCCGAGAACACCCCGAAAGGCAAGCCGCCCAGGCAATGGCCCCCCGAGGAGGGAGGCCATAGCCAAGCAACCCGCCGCCCCGCGGAGCCGAGCCCCCAGCAGCCGCCAGCGGCCGCCCCGCAGAAGCCCCGACGGCCAGGCCCCCACGGCCCACACCAGGCCCCAGCTTTACGAGCCGCGCCCAGCACCTCGGCGGCCGCGCTCCTGCCGTCGGCTGGGCCCCCGCCCTTCGGCGAGGCCCATTCCAAAACCGCGAGCCTCGGCGGCTGGCCTCACAGCCCGCGAGGCTCTGGGTAAGCACCCCGTCAGGTCGTCGAGGGTGGCGGGGGTCGCACTGCGTCGGCGGGGGCCGTGAAAACGCAGCCCCTCCGACGGCTGCCAACGAGCACGCACAGCAGGCCGTCTTCGTCGGGCTCGGCGTTGCGGTCAGGAGCATACAGCACCCCCACGCGCCCGTCGGGAAGGCAGACGCGATCGCCTACCGCGGGGCGCCAGCACAGTGCCTTCCCGCTCTTCTCCTCGAGCTCCTCTGCCACCTTCGGCACGGACTTCTCGAAGCCGCGCTCGTTGTTAACCCCGTCCTCGAACTCGTCCTGCTTCTGGTGCTTGGTGGACCGCGCGATGCTGCTAGTCTCCATGACCTCCATTGCCATTTCGTCCAGCAGCTTGCGCGTCGTCACGAGCTCTGCCTCGAACCCGCTCTCGTTGAGCATCCCGCCGTGCGCCGCCTGGCACCGCGCCTCCGCGCCGAGTTCCGCGTCGCACACGATCTGCTCCAGTGCGTGCTTCTGGGACTTGAGGGACCACGCGGAGCTGCGGGACTCCATGACCTCCTCGGCCATCTCTTCCAGCAGCTTGCGCATCGTCGCGAGATCGGCCTCGTGCTTGCAGAAGGCGTCGATGTGCGCCCAATGCTCCACAAGCGACCCCTCCTGCGAATCCGCGCCAACGCCCCCGATGTCCAAGTCAGCGTACTCCTTCGCGCCCTGGCCCTCGAACTCCTTGTCGTCGAAGCTCTCCTGGGCCTCCGCGTCGTGATCGACCGAGTGGTCCGCGAGCTGCTCGCCGAGATCCGCGTCGCACTCGGCGGCCAGGCGCGCCGCCGCTCCCGGAGCGGCGGCGGGGGGGGGCAACCCTTGACGATTGATGTTTGTCATCTCGCCGCCCACGAAAACCCGACAGCCCCTCCCTGGGGCCCGCTGTCCATGCCGAGCCGTTCTGTGACGATCTCCGGGCCCGGCGAGGGCCCCCTTCAGGCCGAAAATGGCCACAAACATCCGCTTAGTCTTGAGAGCTTTCTCATGTTTTCGAGATAGCGGCCCATACTGGCCCTGGCCGCCCCCACCCCCTCCAGGCAACGCCACGATCCGTGTTGACGTCCAAGTAATCCTTGGCTGCTTCTAGTCATCCCCGACGGCGCCAGCGCGAAACGAGACGCTGCCGGCTTCCTCCCCCTCTCCCCCATCCGTAACGCCCGTTATCTAAGGCGAGAACGATGCCATTATGTCACTGGCTCAAGATACTTTCCAGGAGTCCTGGGATCCTTTCCTGAAGCGCATCATAGTCATGATCTCTGGCTCCTCTGAGTATCGCCCAGGAATGGAAAATCATACTTTTCCCGAAACGTTTGATATTTGGGCGTGCGCCGAAGTCGCCCCTCTCTCGCAGGCAAGGGGCCGCCAGCCCGACCAAGATGGCGCGACCTCAGGGCCGCGCGCCTCTGGGGCCCGCCGCCGCCAGTGCGAGCGGACGAGGCCGGGCTGGGCACTCGGGTCGGGCGACAGTGACGGTAGCAAAAGGGCGCTAGATACTATTTGTTTGGGCTGCGGTGGCCTGGCTTACTTAGCCCGTGGGGGGAGGGGGAAGGTGCCGGCCGAAACCCAGCCTTTTCGCTCTGGGCAGCCCCGCTCCGTGCCTGTGCGAACCCGTACTGCGGCAGGGTCAGGCAACCCGCGGGGGGGGCGACCAGGCCCGCTGACTCGGGTTAACCTCGAAAGGTCTATAGCACCACCCCCAATACTATGCAACGAATTCTTTTCTCGACGGCCTTATTCACAGACTGGTCACCCACCACTAGGTGACTAATTAGTTGTTCCCAGCGGCACCCGCCGCGCAACACCGACGCCGACAGCTATGACTACGATTGCGACTACGACTACGACGACTACTAGTCATTGTGGCTCATAAGCGCTCCCATTGAAAATCCTGGCTCAGAGAATTGGTCCTCAGAAACGTACCCCTGAAAGATCCATCCTGAGAAGCACTGTTGAAGCTGAAGCCCCGCGCGGACCCTCAGAATCTCCGTCCTCAGTAGCTTCATCTTCAGACGACTTTGAGCAACGTCTTCGGCGAAGAATGTGTCGATCTGTATTGCACTCCTCTGTCGTACAGGGTAGCCCCGGGGGCATTATGTCTATTGAGAAATAGCCCCCAAACATGATCCAGCCCGCCCAACAAGAAGTAGGGGGAAAATGATCTCCGCCGCGACGAGGACGTTTTGAGACCAGTTCCACCGCCGCGAGAAAAAAGGAAGGGGTTCAAAACTAAAGACCTCTTGAGGACACCGCGGGACCCTACAAAAGCAGTTTGCAAAGGTGTCCACGAGGGGGACGTCCAAGAGAAAGAGGAAGAGAGGCAGCCCATAGAGGTGCAGGAAGGTCCCTGACGCCGCTGGCCTTGCGCTGGGCCGAGAGCAGAAACACCAGATCCTCATCAGGCGTCGGTCCAGCGTCAGGGCGTCCACGGGGGGGGGTCGCCCAGTAGAGCGTTTCTGAGGGCCTGGGCCTCCTTCGGTGACTTGCGGACGGGCCTTTGACACCGCGCGGATCCTTCAGCCTTGAACGAGCGCGGCTTCCGACAGCGCAGGCCGTTCCAGACCCCTGGAAAGCCTTTTGTTCATGCCTGGGGCGCACAGGTAAGCACACACACACACACACACACACATCCCATGACCCGCCATATTTTCCCATGTGTTCTGGATTCTCGTCTCCCCCCCCACTTCCCATAGCTTCCCACGTGCTCCTGGGAGTCGACGATGAGCTGTCTCTCTGTGTGTTTTGCCCCTCCTGACTCTCTGACCTCGCACGCCCGCGCCTGTGTCTCATCGCCGCGCCGAGGCGGTGGGGACACCGGCCCGACACCAGCGGACTCCTGGACCCCTCCCCGACGTGGTATGGTCGGGTCGGGCGAAAGGGGGGGATAGCAAAGGGGGGGTTTGAGAATCAGCTCACGTAGCTGATTTTCCCGGCGCCTCCCGGCGCCGGAGGCGGCTATGTATCGAGGAATGGGCCCCTCGGTGAAGCCAAAATCAGCTGCATGCAGCAGATTTCGTAACCCCCCCTTTCCCAATCCCCCCCTTTCGCCCGGCCCGATTTTGGAGTCCCGAAACGGTGCTGTGACGCACCGTGCGGTGACCTCCAAAATCCCCCAAGACCTCACCGCACGGTCCGTCCCCGCACCGTCTTGGGACCCCGGAGGCCCCCGTCGCCCGAGAGACGTCCTCGGAGAACGACCCGAGTCCCAAAACCGTGCGGTGGCCCCGAATCCCCACTGGCTCACCGCGCTGTGTGGTCACCGCACCGTTTGGGGGCCCCCGAGTCCTGAGAGAAACGGGTCCTGGACCCCGGGATATTTTTCCTGACGGTCCCTGGGGCCCGTGGAGGGCCCCGAGAGCCCGCACATGGGCCCGCGGAACTCAGGACCCGCTCCCCTCAGGACCAGTGCCCACCACGGCGATCTCGGGGGCGTCCGAAAAGGGGGGCGCCCAAGACTGGGGGCGAACTGAAATCATGGCCGGCGGCATGCGCGTGGCCCAGGGGGGGGGGGTCAGGGACGCATTGATGTAAGAAGAGGAGCCATGACACCTAGAAGAGAGCGCGTTTCACGGGCTCTTGCCTTGGGAACAAACACTCGGCGCCGTCGATCAGAACCAGGGGGACTCTCCTCCCCCCTAACCCCCCCCCGTCCAACCCCCCCCCGGCGCTGGCGCTGGCGCTGGCAGCCGCCACGGCGCCAACGCAGCGACGATGACCAGAGGGCCCAGGAGGGGGGGGGGTTGGGGTTCTCAAACCCCGCCCACCCCCGCGCCGGCGCCAGCGCCGGCGCTGGCGGCGGCTAGCAGCGCCGAAGGCGGGAACGCAGCGACGATGACCAGAGAGGGCCCAGAGGCCGCAAAGGGAACACACAAATCGCCATATCGAGCCCTTGCATGCTCCTCAGACGCCCCCGAGACCCTTCTGACGAGACCTCAACAGGCATCCATTAGAACTCCGACCCTTTGCCAAAACACAGTGGCGGGAAGAGCCGAAGCCTACACCACCACCACCTCCGCCACCACAGACCACCATACCACCAACACCACCACCAACACCACCACCGCCACCACCACAACCACCACCACAACCACCACAACCTACCATCACCACAACCACCACCATCACCACAAACCACCTCACCACCACCACCACCGCAATCCACCACAACCGACCACAACCCACCACAACCACCACCACCACCACAAACCACCACTTCTGACCACCACCATCACAACCACCGCCACAACCACCACCATCACCACAACCCACCACCAACACCACCACAACAAACCACCACACCGCCACCACCACAACCACCACCACCATCCACCACCCACCACCCATCACCAACCACCACCACCAGCACCACTACCAGCAGCACCACCACCACCAACAACACCACAGCCCACCACCAGCACCACCACCACAAACCACCACACCACCACCGCCACCACCGCCACCACCACGACCACCACCGCCACCACCACCAAAGAAACCGTCAGGAAATCCACAGCGAGAGCGAGATTCCTGAGTGTCGAGGGCGCGGCGTCTGAATAAATGGTGCGCAAGAGCGCGATTCGTATAAATTGTGAGGACGTCTCGCGCGAGAGCGCGATTCGAAAGTCAATTGTGACGAAGTATCAGGCGGGAGCTGTTGTTGTTGTTGTTTTTGGTACGCCGGCGGCCAAAGACACAACTCTGAGACCCAAGACGTTCCTTTAATAGCGGACCATGGGAAGAACTCTTCAATTGACAAACGCAGTATGCCCAGAGGGTCATCATCAATCATCATTCAGGAATGACAGTTCATCAACAACTGTAGCAGCAACAACAAAAGCAACAGCAACAACAACAACAATCAGTTTAAGACTGTTCGCTCGTATCTGTTCGCGTGACATTCAATATGCATATCCCAAAACCTGGATACCCGCCCTCTTCGTCTTCGATCGTACCCCCTTTTGGGGGGTATATTCATTCCCTGCCACGTGTGGTTGGTGAAGCCCTTGAAAACGAAGGGTAACAGATAACGGGGGAGAATGAGGACGAAGGGATCGGAGGAAGGCAGGGGAGGGGCAAAAAGGAGGGAGGACGATGATTTGCACTGTGAGTGGCGATTGCTGGCGCGGGCCACGACAGGCGCGAACGAGCGGGGGCCCCGAAGGGCATACGTACAGGGGGCCGCAGAGGGCAGCGATGGAGCCGCTGAGGGCAAAAACGGGGCCACGAAGGGCAGAGAGGGGGCCACAAAGAGCGACAGCGGGGCCACGAACGGCATGCATATGGGGCCACGACGGGCGCGAACGAGCGGGGGCCACGAAGGGCATACATATATGGGGCCAGAAAGGCCGACAGCGGGGCCACTGAGCGCAGAAAGTGGGCCACGAAGGGCAGCGAGGGGGCCACGAATGGCGACAGCGGGGCGACGAAACGCATGCGTCCACGAAGGGCAGCGAGAGGGCCACGAAGGGCGACAGCGGGGCTACGAAGGGCATGCGTATGGGGCCACGACGGGCGACTGCGAGCGGGGGCCACGAAGGGCATATAATGCGGGGCCACAATGGGCAGCGACGGGGCCACTGAGGGCAGCAACAGGGCCACGCAGGGCAGCAAACGAAGGCGACCACGGAACCAGTACGGGCAGCGAGGGGCATCGAAGGCAGCGAAGGGCAGCGAGCGGCGACTGCAGTCCCTAACGGGCTGGTCGGGCGGGCAGGCCCAGACGGGCGGGTCGAGCGGGCGGGTCGTTGAAGCGTAAATTCTGCTTGAACCGCCAGGCAATATGTAGCGGGAGCGCGATTCCTGAGTGTCGAGGAGCGGCATCTGAATAAATTGTGAAGAAGTATCAGGCGGGAGCCTCGATTCGGCGGAGATAAAAATAAATAAAAAAAAAAAGTTTGCCGAGACGTCCGCCAAAAAAAATAAAAAAACAAAAAAAAAAAAAAGAATAAAAAAAATAAAGAAAA